TTTTCACTCCTCCTCCTCTTTCTCCTCCCCATCCCCACCCCCACGTATTTTCCCTTTCTCTAAAGTATTTCCGGTTAAAATTTGTTTGCATATTGAATTGATTTTTTTTTTTCGTCTCCGTTATGATTATCATCATTATTATTAATGTATATTTTTTTTTTTAAATTTTCCATAAAATAATTTCTTATTTAAAATACAAAATATGCTAATAATAAGATAATGATAACAAAACAAATAATATATGAATGAATTTATTATTGGCAACTGCAGTTCGCGTTTTAATTAAATATTCAAAAATTCATTCGTTCTTGTTTTAACGATTTTTATTTAATAATTTTGCCTCCCCCCCCCCGCGGATGACAAAAAAAAATTTTTTTTATTAAAAAAAACGGATGCTAAATAACAAATAGTTTTCAAACTCCTTCATCATCCCTCTTTTACTAATTAATTACGTCATAGTTCGTAAAATTACTCTGACTGTTTTAAAGAATTTTTAATAAATTTTTTAAAATAGTAAAAATTTCTAGAAAAAAAAACTATGACGTCAATACGTCAATACGATGAGCGCACGAAAAAAAAATTTTTTTTTTGTTATTGACATCATCATCATCATCATCATCAACATCATCATCATCATCAACATCATCAACATCAACATCATCATCATCATCAACATCATCATAATCAACATCATCATCATCATCAACATCATCGTCATCAACATCATCATCAACATCATCAACATCATCATCATCATCAACATCATCGTCATCAACATCATCATCAACATCATCATCATCAACATCATCATCATCATTATTATTATTATTATTATTATTATTATTAAACTTTTCTATATTTACGGTAAATAAATTTAAATTATTTCTTTTCTTTAGAAAACTTTCATTATTATTATTATTATTATTATTTAATTTGACGAAAAAGTTTAATGAACCGTAGCGGTAAACAAAGGTTATAAGGTTATATAAATAAATTTTTTTTTTTTTTTATAGCTCGTTTAAATAAATAGCGACTATAGGAAAATTTAAAGTCACGTGACGAAAATTTAAAAAAAAAAAAAAACCATTTCTTCTGCTTTGCATTTTCTGATTTTTTGCTATATATTTTTTTTTTATAGTCTATTGATAATATTTAAACAAATAGTCGTAGCAGTAAATAATAATAATAATAATGTAAAGATAAAAGCTATAAACCGAACCATAAAATGACTATTCGAAATTTAATTTTCTATAAAAAATAATAATAATTGCTATAAAATATTCAATTAAAAAAATTAAAATTTTTATAGCGCACGTAAAAATTTTACGTCATTAGCGTTCGATCGCTTATCATTTTCTATTATTTATTTATAGCGTGTGTGTAACCTTTCTTTCGATGATAATTTTTCCTAAATAAGCATATTTTTAAGCTAATGTAAAATTATAGCTGAATACGTTCGAAACGCTATAAATAATAGACTCGACAATTTAAAAACGATTTATTATAGCGCTATAATTAAACGCTGAGTGATATAACATTAATATAAAATTAATATTAATTTGCAATCATTTAAAAATAATAAAATTTTAATTAATTTAAATTCACGTGATGATAATGATAATTAATAATTTAAATAAAGGCTAATCTCCAGACTTTTGTAATCTACAATGTAAAGGTTTTTTACACAACCTTTCAGTCTATTTATTTTCATTATCTTCCCGAACCTTTCTTTCTTACTCTCACAATATTCGACACGGATAATAATAAATTTCACTTTTTTTATTTAAATGAAATTTTACTTATAGAAAATTAAATTTTAATTTATTCACGTGTAACCCTATTAATTATTTAATTTTTTACGCGAAAAAAATTCGAATTTTTTTTTTTTACCTTTCCTTTCGTTACGTTTCGTTCGATTCTAGCCCCCGTTTTTATTATTATTATTAATATTTTTTTTTTTAATCGAGCTAAAGGTAAAGACAAAAAGAGACAGAATGAGAGAAAGACAGTGAGAGAGAGAGAGAGAGAGAGAGGGAGGGGAAAAAGATAAATAATAAAATAATAGAGGAAAAGTTTTTCCATAGAAAATTATTTTAATATTTTTACTTTTACTCTTTTATTTTATCTTGTGCCATTTCTCCTCTCTCTTTCTCTCTCTTTCTCTCTCTTTCTCTCTCTTTCTCTTTCTTTCTCTATTCCTTTCTTTCGCTCTCTCTCTCTCTTTTTGTTTTAAATTTCTTTTAAAAAGAACAAATTTACATATATTTATTTTTTTAAAATTTTCTTTCGAGTTTTGTTTTAGAAAACAATAAATGATTTATGTGGTTTTATTTATAATAATAATGATAATAATAATAATAATAATAAAAGTCAATAGTCGTACTGAACACACCCGTCCGATTATAAAAAATTAAGGGAAATTGAGGGGGGGGGGTACTAAGTAAGACAAAGACGGAACCATAACAATTCTTGTTTGTTTGTTGACCTGAAACAATTCAGGAACCAACTCGTTTTCATCTAAGATGGACTGAGAAAAACATACAAGAATTGATGTGTAAGACATTAATTCGCAAACATTTATTCCTTAGGGATCAATTTTACCTCTGGAATAAATGTTGGAGAAAAAAAAACTCCGTCAAACACGTAAAACTCGTCGTGATTGATTGTCGGTATCATTAATAATAATAATAATAATAATAATTTTCATTTATATAAAAAAAAAAAAAAAGAAAATTTTTTTCTTTTCACGTAAAGCATTTTCTTTCTGACAAAAATTCTGACGTCATCGAGTCAAAAGAAAATTAAAAAAATTTAAATTTAAAAACCGTTAAAAATGCAAAAAAAAAAAAAAAGTTAAAAAATTAAAAAAAAATTATTCATTTGAGATTTAAAGTAAAATTTCCTTTTTTTTTTTTTTTTTTTAAAAAAATATAGTCTATAAAATTTAAATAAATGCTATATATATAATTATAGTTAATTAAAACAAAATTAGCTTTACTAAACTATAATTTTTAATTTTTTTTTTTACTATAAAAAATGTAGAAATTATATTAAAACGTCAAAAATTTGATTGATTATTATCATTATTATTATCATTATTATTATTGTTGTTGTTTTATTATTATTATTATTATTATTATTATTATTATTATTATTATCGTTTTAAAAAAATTTTTTTTTAAACGCGCATCGTGTTTTTAATATTTATTTACATTTTTTTCTTTTTGCGACATTTTTTTCCTTTGGGAAAATTTTGTTCTTTTTCCCTCTCGAAAAATTTATACATATGTATTCGAGACAGTGACGTCATTAAATTAATAAAATTACGTATGGAAAAAATAATAATAATAATAATAATAATAAATAAGAAATGTATTAAGGTTGAAATTCGTGTCATAAGATTTTAAAAAGGTACGAGCGAGAATAATACGAAAGGAAAATTTTTTTTTTCCTTTTTCAATTTTTTTTTTAAAACGTTGAAATTATTCCATACGCGAATTTAAAAAAAAAAAAAAAAAAAAGAAAGAAAAATCAAATTACATAAAAAAAATTTTCGCGTTTAATTTTTTTTTTTTTTTTTTTTATTCATCAAAGGAAATAAAATGTGATGGTAGAAAGAAAAAGGAAAAAAAAAAAAAAAAGAAAAGGGGGGGGGCGGGAAAAAGAACGGGCAGGCGGGCGGGGAGGGGAGGTATGGAAGATTTTTTTTTTTTTACTTCTGATAAAAATCGACGATAACGCCAAGTTAAAATTTAAAAAAAAAAAAAAACAATGTTTCGCTTATGGATATTTAAAAATAATAACGATTAAATTAAATAAAAGAAAAATTTTAAATGAAAACAAAAGAAAAAAAAAAGTTCTGATAACTCTTATCAAAGTGCGTAAACTTTACAGAATTAAGTGACAGAATTTTCTTTTTTCTTTTTCCAAACAGCTAAATAAAGGAAAAAAAAGGAAAAAATTTACCCCAGTTCGCGTATTAATAAACATTTTTTAAATAATAAATTTTTAATCTTTTCTCCAGGATGGCAAAAAAAAACAAAAACAAAATTGTTCCGCAATTTATATTTGATAAATGTTTAAGTCATTATCATCATTATCATCATTATTTTCTTTCTGTCTCTCTCTCTCTCTCTCTCTCTCTCTCTCTCTGTATATATAAATATATGTGTAATATACGTTCATTTATCTCCTTCAATTCAATTAACTTTTATTTATTTACCAAAAACATTCAGTTTACTTTGTATCCCCTCTCCCTCCCTCTCTCCCTCTCCCTCTTTTTCTTTCTCTCTCTCTCTTTTGCTCACTTTAGGATTTCTAATGAAAAACTTAAAGAAATAAATTTTTTTTTTTTTTTTCTTAAGCTTAACACTAGAGAAACCTAATCAATCAAAACGTGTCGTCAAAATTGGAGGGAAAAAATGAGAAAAAAAAAAAAAATTTTTCAAACAACTTAAATGACGTCCTATTTTTTTTCCTTTTTCTTCCTTCCTTTCTTCCTTCCCTTCTTTTTCTCTCTCACTCTCTCGTAATTTTTCTTTTTTTCCTCAAAAAAAAAAAAAAAAAAATTTTCTTTTTTCCTATCATTTTTAATTAAAATCCTTTTCGCACTTTGCTCTCGTTTAAAAAAAAAAAAAATCATAAAACATCCATCGTCATGCATTTGTCCTGTTCTAGAATTTTCTATTCGTCATTTTTTTTTTTTTTTTTTTTAAACTTTAAACCGAAAAAATTTAAATTTCATTCATGATTGAATGAATGGGAATCGGAATGACTCGAAACGCCCTTGACCCTTAAATTTTAAATTTGTGAAAATATTATCATTTTTTTTTTTCCAAAATTAAAATTTCCGCACGAAAAACCCCCCCGATATTAATAATAATAATAATAATTTTTTTTCTTTTTTTTTTTTTTAAGGAAAATGAAAACTTGGTGTTATATCGATTGAGAATTTTCCAAAAAAAAAAAAAAAAAAAAAAAAAGGAAATAAACGAGTTAAAATGTTTAACGATAGTTTTAAAAGTGAAAAATATTATTGGAACGATACCGGAATACTGGAACAAATAAAAATAAACGTTAAAGATTTGGAAAATTGTACTGGAGAAGAAAACGTGACTTTTGAAAAAGAATACAACGATTACATATTTGATAGTTTGGGCATAAGAATATTATTTATCGTTTTATATTCTATTGTTTTTTGCGGATGCGTTTTCGGTGAGTAAACACATTTTTTTTTTTACATTTTTTCCCTTTTTTTCTTTTCACCGTTCATTCATAAAAACAAAACAATAATAATAATGATAATAATAATTAAAACAACGCAATACGAATTTTCGAATCAGTGAATTTCACGCAAAATGTAAAAAAAAACAATGATTAAAAAATTTTTTTTTTCGAATTAAGGAATATAATAAGATCGTCGGTTATGTAATAAGTTGTATCTATTTAAAATCTCTCTCTCTCTCTCCCTCTCTCTTCATCTCTATCTGTCTCTCTCTCTCTCCCTCTCTCTCTCATTCTATTTAAATTCTCCAGAGGTGTGTTTTATTTTAAACGCGGATTTAAATTTTATTTTGACATAAGATATAATAAAGGCAAAGGTTTATTTTATACTTTTTAATAAATAAATTATTTTTGCTAAAAAAAAAAAACCAATAACTTATCCGAGATTTAAATGCTTTGTAAACTTTTTTAACGACAGCAAAATTTAAAAAAAAAAAAAATTTAAAGTTTTTTTTCAAGAGCAAAAATCATTATTTTCGATTCGTTTCAACGAAATTAACAATAATCAAATTTGTCGTAGAAGGAAAATATTTTTGTCACGTGATAAAACGACGTGACGTAATTAAAAAAATAAATGGAAAAATTTTAAATACGTAAAGAAAGATTTCTTCTGCTTTCGAGTAAAATAATCATCAATAATAATTATTATTAACATAAATAGTTATTGATGAATTTAAATTTAAAGAAAATTTCCTTTTTGTTTTCCCATTTTTAATCGAGGAAAAGCTTTATTAATAATAATAATAATAATAATAATAATAATAATAATAATAATAATAATAATAATAATAATAATAATAATAATGATGATGATGATGATGATGATGATGCATTGTTTTTTGTTGTTTTTGCAAAAAAAACCGTAAAACATGAATTAATTTTTAATCAATGCATTAAAACAAGTGAATTTTCCAACTTCAATTTATTTTTCAATTAAACTAAGTAAACGTGCAACGGAAAATGGAGGGAGGGGGGGGGGGAAAAATTTTCTTTTTAATTTCAAATTTTTCCGCATATTAATCGTAAATTTTTTCATAGACCTCATGTTTAGCTTATCATTAAATAAGTTTTCTAACGAAAAAAAAAAGAAATTTTTAACTGATAACAGGAGGCGTAGAAAATAGTGAAAACGATTATTAAAATCGTATTAATAATTTATAAAAAAAATTTTCATGGGGGGATGTGAGCGTGTGTGCGTGGGTGCGTGGGCGTATAAGGAGCGGATTCAAAGAGGATTTTTTTTTTTTAAAGTTTTAAAACAGTAATTATTTTGATTAAATATTTAACGTAATCTTTTAAAAAAAAAAAAAAATTTAAAATTTTCTTTTCACGTACTCTCATTATTATTATTATTATTATTATTATTTATTAATTTAAATTAATGTTTTTCATTAAAAACTTTTCATTAATTGTTTTGTTTTTTTTTGTACCTGTCAGTTTGTCGAAAGGTTCCCCCCCCCCCATTGAAAATAACAAAACAAAAAAAAAACAATTCCTTTAGGCTTTTTTTTTTTATTTAAACAAAGTTTTTTGTTGTTGTTGTCGTTTGTTAATTGTTATATAAATCAATAGATTGCGTTGTTAATTGTTTTTTTTTTCGTTCGATTGTTTGAACACGTGAAAGTTTTTTTTTTTTTTTTAATTTTATTAATTAAACAAAAAACGTTATTTCTTTTGTCATTAAAATAATATAAACAATTTTATTACTCTATGAAAATTTTCGATATAAAAAAAAGTAAATATTAATTCGGATGTTGAGTTAATAAAAATTCGTAAGACAAAAATTTAAAGAATTTTCTTTTTTCGGAAAATCAAAAATTCCGTTGAAAATTCAGCCTCGAGTATATATATATAATTCAAATAATAATAATAATAACATTTCATAATTTTCCCGATGGAAATTTTTTTTTAAAAGATTATTATTATTAATTTTTTTCCCAGGAATCGGAGGAGGGGAAGGAGAGGAACGCATACTTCCCAAATTTTTTTTTGTTTTTTTTTTTTGTACGTAACAAACGACGGAAAAGTCAATTTTATTTCCCTCCCCCCCCCTCCGAGCCTATTCATGATTTATTTCAGGAATGAGTTTAATGTTTTTTGTTCGGTAAAGGAAAATTTTTAAAATTTCGTTCAGGTCATGTTTGAATTTCGAAATCCGGGAAAACCTTTTTTCTAAGATGAAAATTGTTTCACTCGTGCGTGTGCGTGACTCCATTCACTCACTTCCTGCATGTATATAACATTTTTCCTTTTTTCTTTTTGTTATTTTTTTACGATTTATTATTATTATTATTATTATTATTATTATTATTATTATTATTATTAACATCATCATCATTATTATTATTATTGTCATTATTCATTTTTTTTTATTTCGAAAAAGGAAATTTTTTTACGATATTTTTTATTATTATTATTATTTAACGGTGAAATTTTTTTATTTTGTTTTTTATTTTTTTTTTATAACTGAATCGAAAACGTTTTATATTAAAAATTGTGTTTGTTCGTTTGTTTGTCTGTTTGTTTGTTTGTTTGTTGTCGTAAAAATGAATACACGTGTAAAATGTTTTTTTTTATTTCGAACATATTTAAAAAATTTTTTTTTTTTTCGTCTTTGAAAAATTAATTTTAAAAAAAAATATTTATAAAAAAAAATTTTTAAATTAAATTAAAATTAAATTAAAATTAAATTGAAATTTAATTCGTGCGTACGACGTCATCGAAACAATTTATTTAAATTTAATTGACAACGAAAAAAAAAGAAAAATTTATTATCCGGCAATAAATTAATTTTCAAAGAATAATAAACTGACTTTAAAAAAAAAAAATTAATACGACGGGTAAGGAAAATTCGAATTTTTTAAATAACAAAATGGAAAATTCCAGAACAAAAAAAAAAAAAATTTTGACGAAGAAAAAAAATTACGAAACGTTTTTTTTTTAATCGGAATTTAATTTCGTAACATTTTTAACCCCCCCATTTTCAATATCTTCCTGCCCTTTTTTGTCTCTCTCACACCCACGCTTTCACCGTTTCGCCTACGCCCCAAATCAACCCTCTCCCCCGCCCCCCGCCTCCTCCCTTAACCTTGAACTTTTTCCTTATGAGTTTTAATCTGATAAATGTTATCGCGTACGTCACGATGATGCGACGTTCAAGTTATAAATAAGATTTTAAAAGAAAAGAAAAGAGAAAAAAAAATTTTTTTTTTTTTCCTTATGTACGGTAATTAATGATGATAATAAATAATAATAATAATAATAATAATAATAATAATAATAATAATAATAATAATAATAATAATAATAATAATAATAATAATAATAATAATAATAATAATAATAATAATAATAATAATAATAATAATAATAATAATAACAATAATAATAATAATAATAATAATAATAATAACAATAATAATAATAATAATAATAATAATAACAATAATAATAATAATAATAATAATAATAATAACAATAATAATAATAATAATAATAATAATAATAATAATAATAATAATAAATAATAATAATAATAATAATAATAATAATAACAATAACATTAATAATAATAATAATAATAATAACAATAATAATAATAATAATAATAATAATAATAATAATAATAGAAGTAATTATTAAAATTTCTATTTTTTTTTTTTTTTTATTTATTTATTTTTACAATTAAACGTATTGTATTGTAATTGTACAAAAGTTTACGTCATAAATTTTTTGCTATTGTCAAGCTTTAAAAAAATATTTTTTTTTAAAATTATTATTTGCTGTCATTTGACGCACGCTCTTTTAACAGCAAAAACAACAACAATTTTTTTTTTTTTTTTTTAATCAACCACAAATGATTCGATAAATTTTATTGCATTTTTTTTTTTTTTTTACAATAAAAAACAATAAATAATAACAATGTTTCTTTTTTCCGACCGTAAAAGTTCAATAAAGAGACTGAGAGAGAGAGAGAGAGAGAGAGAGAAGAGAGAGAAACAGACTGAGAAAGACTGAGGGGAAGAGAGAGAGAGAGGGAGATATGCAGACAGTGAACACGAACTGGGGGAGAAAAAGAAATAGAGAAAAATAGAAAAACAGACTGTGAAAAAGAGAAAGAGAGAGAGAGAGAGAGAGGGGGGGAGATTAAAGTAAAAATGTTTTTTTTTTAAGAACCGCCATAAAAAAAAAAAAGAAAAAAAATTATATTATGAAAAAGTCGTTTTTTTTTTTTTTTTTTTCTTAAGAAAAAATTCCAATAAAATTTCACGATTTTTATTTTATTTAATTTTATTTACTCTGTGATTAACCGTTATAAAAATTATAAAATTTATAATATATATGCGTACCTACAACAAAATTTATTTTATCTATATTATAAAAAAGGAAAATTTTTTATCATACGTTTAACACCCTTTTTTTTAAGTTTTATATTCATTTGTTTTTTCTTATTGTTATTCTATATCATTTTTTTTTATTACAATACGTGTTTGAAAACGTTATAGCGCTATAATTTTTTTTTTTTAATTCGTTTATAAAATCGCATAAATCATTTCCCATTTATTTTATTTTTATTTCATTCAAAAATTATACCCGAAATTAATAAAAAACAAGAGAGAGAGAGAGAGAAACCTGAATAGATCAACTACAGCATTTATTTCATTTATTGATTTATTGATTTATCGATCGGTTTTTTTTTTATTAATAAAATTAATTACATTTAAAAATAATTATAGAATTTGCATTTGCAAGTAAATTTAAATTACAGTTCAATAAATTTAAAACTTGCAACTTGTCAGTAAATTTATTTCTTGCAGCAAAAAAAAAAAATATTACACTTTTACAACAGCACACGTGAATACAAATTTATCATTATTACTATTATTATTATTATTATTATTATTATTATTATTATTATTATTATTATTATTATTATTATTATTATTATTATTATTATTATTATTATTATTATTATTATTATTATTATTATTATTATTATTATTATTATTATTATTATTATTATTATTATTATTATTATTATTATTATTATTATTATTATTATTATTATTATTATTATTATTATTATTATTATTATTATTATTATTATTATTATTATTATTATTATTATTATTATTATTATTATTATTATTATTATTATTATTATTATTATTATTGTCATCATCATCATTACAACGGTAACATTTATTTTTTTGCTTACGTCACGAAATAATAAAAAAAAAATTTCATTTCGATTCGAGATTTTAAAATAAATACGAAATTAGCATCTAATTCATTTCCTGTTTAATATTTGACGTAAACTTTTCACGAAATAAAAAGTGTTTTCCCTTAATTGCAGGAAAACAAAAACACTTAATCACTATCTATCACCCGCATTAAAATTAATAATAATAATAATAATAATTTAGCAGAAGAAAAATAAAAGAAACTCGGCTTAGTAATACAAGGAAAAACCACCTTTAATAATTTCGAATCATTGTCACCAGTTTTGCGTTTAAAAGTTTAAAGAATAATATATATATATTATTAGTAAACGAAAAAGTTTCCAGAAAAGAAAATTTCGGTTTCCATGGTTACCGTTTAATTGTTTGTAAACATTGAAAAATATTAAAATAATAATAACAATATGTACGACAACAAATTTCCACGTGACGACGGAAACAATTATAAGAAAAAAAAAATTTTCTTTCGTTTCGTTATAGAAAAACGCCGCGCAAATTTTCATATTGAAAATTTTATTATTATTATTATTTTCATCGTAAAATCACACGTGTGAAAATTAATTAATTATTATTAATTATTTATTTACGGGAGAATGAACATACATTAATTAATTAATTGTTTGTATTTACGTAACGAACGAAAATATTTATTTATGTATAAACAATAACAATTTTGATAATTATCGTAAAATTTTATTTGCTGACTCGTACAAATAATAAAAATTTTCATTTCCGCCGCGAATGAAAATTTTCTCCATTTCCGGTAAATTTATTTATTATTGGTTTTGAAATTCAACACGTTAGAAAAAAAAAAAAATATTGAAATGACATTGTTTCTTTTGGCGGTGGAGGGAGGGAGGAAGAAGGGGGAAATTTAAGAAAATTTCATTTTAAAAAATTAATAATAATAATAATATTAATAATAATTTTAAATAATTTTGACGATGATGATAATAATAATATAATTTTTTTTTATTAAATTAAGCGAAAAATTTTCCGACTAAAACAACAACTCTTATGAAAAAACCGATAAAACTACGTTGGAAAAACAAAATGGCGAAAAGTTTTTAATGAAATTATTATTATTATTATTATTATTATTGTTTCCTATAAAAACTAGGAAATTTTAATAATAATTAATTTTTATTTTTTTTTGTTTGTTTGTTTGTTTGATAATGTTTGTTTAATTTTTTGTTGCCGTCGTCGTCGTTGTTTGTTTGTTTGTAGTTATTGTTTTTCTTTTTCTTCTGCTTTTCCGCGCTTACGTAAAAGTAAAAGCAAAAAAAAAAAAATTGAATATCGTTTATCTTTTAATTTAATAACTTTTTATCTTATCTAATAATTTTAATTGAATAAACCAAAATGTTTTCCGTTATATACTTTAAATAAATAATCGATAAAATCGATTCCGAAAAAAACTCTAACCTAAACGAGTATTAAAACAATTAAAAATTTTATAATTACTTTGATATAATTAGTGTTGAAAACGTTAGGAAAATTTTCAGGGAAATTGTTTCTTATGACGTCATCATGCACCGGAAATTGTTTTGTTTTTTCCTTGCGACAAAAATAAAATGAAAATTATTAACTTAAATTTTTTTTTTTTTTTTTTACAGGGAATTTAACCGTCATTCTGTTGGTACTACTGACGAGAAGATTAAAATCGAACACGAATTTTTTTTTAGCAAATTTAGCATTTGCCGACCTTTGCGTTGGAATATTTTGCGTTTTTCAAAATTTGACTTTTTATTTAATAACAACGTAAGTAAATTTTCTTTCTTTTTTTTTTTTTTTTAAATAATAACGTCCACTTATCGGAAATAATTAATCATCGATCGATTGATCGATCGATCGATCGATATTTTTGTGATTTTTAAAAGTCGTTTGAGAGGAAAAAAAAACAATTCATCACTTAATAATAAAAGAGTGACGTAGAATGATATTAATATTTATGGGTTTAATGTTTTGAGGGATGAAAAACATTCGAGGACGCGGCGACATTAAAATAAATTTTTCCTCAAACGACTTTTTAAAAAAAAAAAAAGTGGGGAGTCATTGATCGATTATTGATTTATCGAAAGGGGGGAAAAAATTATTAATTTAAAATTAATCGAATGTGTTAAGCGCTTAAACAAATTTTTTTCCCCTTGAATTCGCTTTTCCGTATCCGGAAAATTATTTTAATTCCGGAAAATTTTTACACATATATTATTATTATTATTACCTAATTTTCATAACGTTTTCTTTTTTTTTTTAATTAATTATTATTCGATTTTATTTTTAATTTTTTTTTTTTGATAGAATAATTTTTAAATAAGTTTTCCACCAATTAATTAATTACTTCCGTTTCCGGTTATTTTTTCTTTCCTTTTTACACATTTATTTCCTTTTTTTTTTTTTTCAAAAAGTAAGAAAAATATTTTTTTTTTTAAGGTTATTCAAAGTTAATATAAAACTCTTGAGAATTCCTACAGGTGTTATTGTACGTTTTTCTCATTGTGTTTTCGATTCGTAATAATTTCCCCCCCCCCCAACAGCTCCCCAATGCCTCCCTTTCATAAAAACATATCGTAGCGTTAAAAATTTTTTTAATCAATTAAATTTTTATCGATCGAATCCCTTCGAGAGGTTAAATAACAAAAAAAAAAAAACTAAGCCCAATATTTTATTTTTCAATTAACAATAGAATCGTGTTCATGACCGATAACAACAACAAAAAAAAAAATTAATTTAATTTTCAATCGTTCAATTATCTTTTTGTAAATAATTATTCTATTTATATTCATTCATTCATTCAATCATTCAATTCATTTATTTTTCCTCCCCTTCCCCCCTCCACGCCCCCACATTCTTATTCTTATCGTTATGATTTCTTTGGTTATTATTATTATTAACATAAAAACCCTTCAAAAAGTTTTTTTATTATTATTCGGTACGAATTAAGTTTGTAAACAAAACCCCCGTCGAATTTATCGTCTGCTTTATTTTTTAAAATCGATTAAATAATAATAATAATAAATAAAAAAATAAATAAATAATAATAATAATAATTATAATTATAATAAATAAGATAAGGATAACGCGTTAGTGGGTTAATTTAAAAAAAAAAAAAACTATGGATATTAGTCCGTTTTGTTTTCTTTTCTTTTCATACAAAATGGCGGGAAAATTTTTTTTTGTTTTTACGGATGTTTATTTCTCTATGATGTTAATTAACGCGGCATTAACGGTCGTTCTGACGTCATTTTTCACATATTTTAAACGATTCGTTTCCGGGTTGTTTTTATTACGTCACGACTGCGACAAACGCATTAATTTTTTTTTTTTTTTGTTTTGGATAATTTAAATTTCAATTGAATTTTACACTTTGGACAACATTAAAAAAAAAAAATTTCAATTTTTTTTTGCAAAGGGCAAAGTGTAAAATTAAATTGAAATTTAAATTATCCAAAAAAAAAAAAAAAAAAAAAAATTACATTTTCATTAAACGCGTATATAAATACGCATTTACGTGGTACATACATAAATATATTGATAAAGTAATAATAATAATAATAATAATAATAATAATAATAATAATAATGATAATGATAGTGATAATAATAACGATTTATATACATATTTTTTTTTATGATAAATTAATGAACCGAAAATAATAAGAAAAAAAATTTATTAACGTCGTCGTCGTCGTCGTCGTTATATTTTTCAAAATAATAATAATAATAATAATAATAATAATAATAATAATAATAATAATAATAATAATAATCTATTTCATTTTTAAAATGATCGGATTTTTTTTTTCGTTGATAAATAATATTAATAATAATAATAATAATAATAATAAATATCATGAAAAATGTTGATGATGATAATAATAATAGAGAAGGGTACATTTTTTTTAAAAATCTCCCCAAGATTTTTTCTTATTGACGTCATATTATTATTTATTTCCGGTTTAAAAAATAATTACGCACGAATAGAATTTTTTTAAATGTATAATAATAATGATAATGAAACAAACGATAGGAAATGATGAGTTCGTTAAATTTATGCAAAAAGAAAAACGCGCCAACATTTTTTTTTTTTAAATTTTAAACAAATATTTATTGATAAAAATAATTAATTCCATTAAGACTCATTTGTGGAAATTGTATTCGTAAACAAATACGTATTCGAACATCCGTTTCCGGTTTCGATTAACGGTAAATTTTTTTTTTTTTTTTTAAATGTTTCACATAAATTTTATGTGAGTTTTTAATTTTTTTCTTTTGAAATTCAATTTTATAAAATTTTTTCCCTTTTTTTTAATAAATAATAAATTAAAATAATAATAAAAATAATAAAAATAATAATAATAATAATAATAATAATAATAATAATAATAATAATAATAATAATAATAATAATAATAATAATAATAATAATAATAATAATAATAATAATAATAATAATAATAATAATAATAATAATAATAATAATAATAATTGAAAATAAAAATTTTACATTTTAATTAGGTTTTTACTAAATAATTAATAATAATAATAATAATTGACTTCGTATAAAAATTAAATTAAATTAAAAATAAAGTCATGGCGACGTCATGTCAGTGTCTTTGACGATGGGAGACAAGAAAAAAAAAGGAAAAAAAATTGATAATAATAATAATAAAATGGTCGCGTTTGATAAAACGGAAATCGACGTCAGAGGTCATTTTTAAATAAATAAAAAAAAGAGACGTTTATATCCGGTTTATAATTTAATAAGTCTTAACTCGGTTTTTGCGACAAAAATAATAATAATAATAATAATAATAATAATAATAAAATTATGATAATTTATGGGAGTTTCATTCACATGAAATAAACACACATGAACATTCGTAATAAAATTTTGCATAGCAGAAGACAAATTTTTTGTTTAGCAGAAGACAAATTTTTTTTTTTTTAAATTCGTAATCGTAAAAGGATTTTATATTGTTTTCACAAAAAATGTTTTATAATAATAATAATAATAATAATAATAATGACATTGCATAATAATTCATAAAATAAAAAAATTTTAAAACCGTGTTTCTTTGTTTGTTTGTTTGTTTGTTTTTAAATGCATCAAATTTTTTTATAAATTTCGGACAAAAAACAACAACGAATAACGCGTGAAATTTTATAAAATTATTTTGCAAGTATAATTATTTTTAATTAAAAAGTTAATAAATGTAAACCTTTCGTTTTTTTTTCACGGCGTTTTTAAAAGAAAGAAAAAGAAAGAAAAAAATGGCGTCGGAAAATTGAAATTTAAAAAAAAAAAAAAAAAAATTTTTGTAAATTTTCGAGAGGCAGAAAAAAAAAAAAAACACAAACAACGATTTGTTCTTTAAAAAAATGTTTTTATTTTCCCCCTCGCGCAACTGTAGGGTTGTTTTTTTTTTTTTTCGGGGAGGGGGGTGGGAAAATTTCAACGATAAAAAAAAAGAATTTTCTAGAAATTTTAAATTTAAACCCGCCCGTAAATTTCGTTTTATCTTTTAATAAATTCCTTTTAGAAAAATTTTTTATTAATTATAAAATAATAAAAAGCAGAAGATAAAAAATTCACTTTGTCATTCATTCATTCATTCATTCATTCAATCAATCAATCAATCAATCAATCACTCGATCGGTCATTAAATTAATTTTTTTTTTTTGTTTTTATATCACTTTTCAACTTGTGCTTTCATTATTATTATTATTATTATTATTATTTTTAATAGGGGAAAAGCTAAAAAAAAAAAAAAATCATCTTCTGCTCGCAGAAATCATTTTATTTAAATTAACATCATTATTATTATTATTATTATTAATGACGTTGAAAGAAGAGAGAGAGAGAGAGAGGAAAAAAAAATTTTTTTTTTTTATAATATGAACTAATTAGGCCATTTCAGGTGGGTATTAGGAAAAAATTTTTTTTTAATTTTTTTTTTATTTTTTAATGTGACGGAAAAAGAAAAAAGAAAAAAAGAAAAAATTGTCGGTTTTTCATGTGACAAAAAAAAATTTTCCAAGATTTAAAAAAAAAGTAAGAAAAAATTTTTTTTCAATTTCACGAGATTTATAAAAGCGTAAAAAAAAATTTTCCCTCTTTTCTCTCTTTTCTTCTTTCGAAAGAGTTTTTTTATACAATTATTATTATTATTATTTTTTTTTTTTTTCTTTTTCCTTTTCTTCTTTTT